AAAATTTAACGAAAATTTTCTATAAAAAGAAATTTAACGAAAATTTTCTATAAAAAGAAAATTTAACGAAAAATTTTCTATAAGAAGAAAATTTAACGAAAATTTTCTATAAAAGAAAATTTAACGAAGATTTTTATAAAAAGAAAATTTAACGAAGATTTTCTATAAAAGGAAAATTTAACGAAATATGTTCTATAACAAGAAAATTTAACGAAAATTTTCTTTAAAAAGAAAATTTAACGAAAAATGTTCTATAAAAAGAAAATTTAATGAAAATTTTCTATAAAAGAAAATTTAACGAAAATTTTCTATAAAAAGAAAATTAACGAAAATTTCTATAAAAAGAAAATTTAACGAAAATTTTCTATAAAAAGAAAATTTAACGAAAATTTTCTTTAAAATGAAAAAATAAACTTTTCAAATTTTAAATTAAATCTATAGAGTGTCACTTAATCAACCTTAATAAACTAAAAAAAAATATAATTTTTTTTTTTGCTAAAAAAATTTATGACTGTACCCGACTTCTATTTGCAAAAAAAAATCATACTTGATACAATTTAATTGCGGCAGTTATTTAAAGAAACTGACACACCCCAACACCATACTGTAACAAAACAACAGCAGCAACAGTCGTCAGATCATGATGGTGATTGTCTGTCTGTCCGTCGGTTTGAATTGGGTGCTGGCTGTTAGTGTTTAAAACTGCATTTATTTATTTCTAAACGTTGTTAGTTCATTTTAATTAAAAACAATTGTTGTTAACTAAAACTAGTTTTTTTTTCTTGAAATTCTAAAATAACAAAAATACAACAATCGCATAATAAAATCATAATTGTATTGATAAATTAAACACAAATAAACTTTCCAATTCTAAACTGTTAAATTTAAATTGAAGAATTAAATTGCTATTAAAAGAAATAAATGATAAATTATATATTCACAGAGATAAATAAATAAAGTATTTTCTGTTCCCTTCTAAATTATTAATTTTAGTTGTTTATGCTGAATACTTTAGCTATTAAGGTTAATCAAAGACCCCCTTGGAGAGTTTTTGTTTAAAATAAAATTTAAAATATTTAAAACTTCAAAAAAATAAAAGCCAAACAATTAGCTTGAACTGTTAAAGATTTTCCTTTCTCTCTGTGTTCTCTCTATTTCTTTTCACTAATTCCATCTAGTGTTTCTAATCTTTGTTATCGATTTCAGTTTACAGCTTATTAATTGCTTGGCTTTTAGATGACCAACCTTTAGGTTCATACTTCTGTTCTAAACTCCAAACATTGTTGGCCACTCGTTCGCTCAGTCATTCTCCTTCAGTTATGAACTGACTTGCGTTCATATCAAAATGTGTTGAAATTATGATGATGAGGCAGAAAATTATGTTTATCTACAAAATTTGTTAATTTAAAAAAGAAAAAAAAAAAAAAGATTTTTTGATTTTTAATTTTCTATTTAAAACGGCATGAAAAATCGTCTTAAAATACCATGAATTTTTGTGGCATCAACATTGATTTGATTTTATACCGAAATCTTGGTTTGTTGAACTTGTTTGTACTACAACAAATCAGTTTTTATTTTTTATTTTTTTGTGTTTATTTTCGACTGTTAACAATTTATTGATTGATCATTGTTTGTCAGTTGTTCACAGTTGGACTTCAACAATACTAATTTTGTTTTTTTGTGTTACTACTATTCTTCTAATAATATTTTTGTTTTCATAAATAGGATTAATAAATGTTTTGCACAATAACATTTATTAGAGTTTTGTATAAAGGAAAGGTTGTTTCAGAATGTGATCTACAACTGAACTAGAGCTAAACTAGAACTGAACTAGAACTGAACTAGAACTGAACTAGAACAAACTAGAACTGAACTAGAACTGAACTAGAACTGAACTAGAACTGAACTAGAAACTGAACTAGAACTGAACTAGAACTAAACTAGAACTGAACTAGAACTGAACTAGAACTGAACTAGAACTAAACTAAACTGAACTAGAACTGAACTAGAACTGAACTAGAACTGAACTAGAACTGAACTAGAACTGAACTAGAACTGTACTAGAACTGAACTAGAACGAACTAGAACTGAACTAGAACTGAACTAGAACTGAACTAGAACTGAACTAGAACTGAACTAGAATGAACTAGAACTGAACTAGAAACTGAACTAGAACTGAACTAGAACTGAACTAGAACTGAACTAGAACTGAACTAGAACTGAACTAGAACTGAACTAGAACTGAACTAGAACTGAACTAGAAACTGAACTAGAACTGAACTAGAACTGAACTAGAACTGAAACTAGAACTGAACTAGAACTGAACTAGAACTGAACTAGAACTGAACTAGAACTGAACTAGAACTGAACTAGAACTGAACTAGAACTGAACTAGAATGAACTAGAACTGAACTAGAACTGAACTAGAAACTGAACTAGAACTGAACTAGAACTGAACTAGAACTGAACTAGAACTGAACTAGAACTGAACTAGAACTGAACTAGAACTGAACTAGAACTGAACTAGAACTGTACTAGAAACTGAACTAGAACTGAACTAGAACTGAACTAGAACTGAACTAGAACTGAACTAGAACTGAACTAGAACTGAACTAGAACTGAACTAGAACTGAACTAGAACTGAACTAGAACTGAACTAGAACTGAACTAGAACTGAACTAGAACTGAACTAGAACTGAACTAGAACTGAACTAGAACTGAACTAGAACTGAACTAGAACTGAACTAGAACTGAACTAGAACTGAACTAGAAACTGAACTAGAACTGAACTAGAACTGAACTAGAACTGAACTAGAAACTGAACTAGAACTGAACTAGAACTGAACTAGAAACTGAACTAGAACTGAACTGAACTGACTAGAACTGAACTAGAACTGAACTAGAACTGAACTAGAACTGAACTAGAAACTGAACTAGAACTGAACTAGAACTGAACTAGAACTGAACTAGAACTGAACTAGAACTGAACTAGAACTGAACTAGAACTGAACTAGAACTGAACTAGAACTGAACTAGAACTGAACTAGAACTGAACTAGAACTGAACTAGAACTGAACTAGAACTGAACTAGAACTGAACTAGAACTGAACTAGAACTGAACTAGAACTGAACTAGAACTGAACTAGAACTGAACTAGACTGAACTAGAACTGAACTAGAACTGAACTAGAACTGAACTAGAACTGAACTAGAACTGAACTAGAAACTGAACTAGAACTGAACTAGAACTGAACTAGAACTGAACTAGAACTGAACTAGAACTGAACTAGAACTGAACTAGAACTGAACTAGAACTGAACTAGAACTGAACTAGAACTGAACTAGAACTGAACTAGAACTGAACTAGAACTGAAACTAGAAAACTGAACTAGAACTGAACTAGAACTGAACTAGAACTGAAAACTGAACTAGAACTGAACTAGAACTGAACTAGAACTGAACTAGAACTGAACTAGAACTGAACTAGAACTGAACTAGAACTGAACTAGAACTGAACTAGAACTGAACTAGAACTGAACTAGAACTGAACTAGAACTGAACTAGAACTGAACTAGAACTGAACATAGAACTGAACTAGAACTGAACTAGAACTGAACTAGAACTGAACTAGAACTGAACTAGAACTGAACTAGAACTGAACTAGAACTGAACTAGAACTGAACTAGAACTGAACTAGAACTGAACTAAACTAGAACTGAACTAAAACTAGAACTGAACTAAAACTAGAACTGAACTAAAACTAGAACTGAACTAAAACTAGAACTGAACTAAAACTAGAACTGAACTAAAACTAGAACTGAACTAAAACTAGAACTGAACTAAAACTAGAACTGAACTAAAACTAGAACTGAACTAAAACTAGAACTGAAACTAAAACTAGAACGGACTAGAACTAGAACTGACTAAACTAGAACTGAACTAAAACTAGAACTGAACTAAACCTAGAACTGAACTAAAACTAGAACTAACTGAACTGACTAAAACTAGAACTGAACTAAAACTAGAACTGAACTAAACTAGAACTGAAGTAAAACTAGAACTGAACTAAAACTAGAACTGAACTAAAACTAGAACTGAACTAAAACTAGAACTGACTAAACTAGAACTGAACTAGAACTGAACTAGAACTGAACTAGACTAGAACTGAACTAGAACTGAACTAGAACTGAACTAGAACTGAACTAGAACTGAACTAGAACTGAACTAGAACTGAACTAGAACTGAACTAGAACTGAACTGGAACTGAACTAGAACTGAACTAGAACTGAACTAGAACTGACTAGAACTGACTAGAACTGAACTAGAACTGAACTAGAACTGAACTAGAACTGAACTAGAACTGAAACTCGTAACTGAACTAGAACTGAACTAGAACTGAACTAGAACTGATACTAGAACTGAACTAGAACTGAACAGAACAGACAAAACTGGCCATTTTTTAATTTTGTTTCACACTTTTTGTATAACCCTTTAGGGGAACTCCCAAACATGTGTGTTTCTTGGTTTTGTTTACTTCGTTCTATTATTATTCTACGTGATCATCACAAAATCATTATTTGGTACATATTACAAATTACTTTTATTTTTTTTTTTTAATTAAACATTAATTATTTTTAAAAGTCATGATCTGTTGGAAGTATTTCTTAAAAAAAACCTTCAAAATAGTTGTTGATTGATGTTTGATATTAAACAGTTGGAAGTAGATTCTTTAAAGTTTTCATTAATTAAACTTTTTTAAGAACTAAAGTAGATGTTTGTTTTGATATTTGATGTAATTTATTATACTATGCAAAATCCAATCAGTTTTTCAATAAAGTTGGTTTCTCTTAAAGGATCAAGGACATATCAAGCAACCAAATGTTTTCTTTTTTATTAAAAATGTTAATTATATATATTTAAGTAGTAAAATTTATTTCGATTAATTTTTAAAAAGAATATGACACTCTACTAAATAACAATTTATTTTTTTTCTCATTCTAGAACTACAATTTCAATTTCATTCAAAATCCAACACATTTACATTTTACATTGTATTGAAAGCCGTTCAAAGTAAGTACATAAATACAACAATAGATATAAATATAAACGTAAAATATTCTATTCAGATAAATAATTTACATTTCTATGAACTTTAAAAAGTTAGATTTTTAACGAAATATTTACAAGTTTTATTGAAAATACTTACATAAACTAGAATCTAACAAAGAAACAATTGTGGTTTTTGCACAAAGAAAACAAAGCAGTAAATAAAATAATTATAGGTACATATAAATATATGCGGCTCTGTTAGGCTCGTCTTTAGTCTTTACTATAATATCGTTTGTAACCTGGACTATATATATATTGTCTATTCTACGTACTATGTCTATAGGTTGGGCTATAGTATCTTCTATGGTTTGGACTAAAGTATCTTCTATAGTTTGGACTACAGTATCGTTTAAAGACTGCAATGTCTATAATATCGTCTATAGTAATTTATATAGTCTGGAGTATAGTTCCGTTTGGACTGTAGTCTCGTCTATATTATGGACTATAGTGTCGTCTGTAATCTGGACTATAGTCTGGTCTTTAGTCATGACCACAGTTTCTTCTATAGTCAGGATTGTAGACTCGACTATAGTCGGGGCTAATGTCTCGTCTTGACTATTGTTTCGACTCTAGCCTTGTCCATATTCTGGACTTTAGTCTCAACTATGTCTTGGCTATAGATTCAGCTATAGTCAGGACTGTAGTCTTCTCTATAGTTGAGACTATAGTATCGTTTATAGTCTGCACTATTCTAGATTATAATCTAGTCTATAGTCCGGGTTTCGTAAAACCCTTTAAACTTACACTTTAAACCAAACTTAAGCTTATTTTCCTAAAAATTAACAAAATTTATGGCAAATGTTGAAATTTATGATGACTTTTGGCTAAAAAAGCGCCTACCTATTTGTTATAAATAGTTTAATATTTATTATTTTAAACATCAGTTCAAATTTAAATTTAAATGGATGCATTTGCTCTGAGCTCGTGCAACAAACAATAATGAAACGAAGGCGACAGCTTCTGCAGCACATGCCTCATAGCACACTTATACTTTGTGTTCGATTATTAGCATTGTTGCTGTTGTTGTTGCAAGTGCCATTGTTTTGTTGTGCCATCAAGTAAAACATAACATCTGAATGCATCACTGAACAACACTGAACATCGTCATCATCATCACCATCGTCGTCATCATATAAAATCACATACATTCTGCAGCAAACAAACATGAATTATAAAAATATGAAGCAAAAACAAAAAAAACTACTATTGAAACATTGCAAGCGTTGCAACAATCGATTTATGAAACTTCATCGATATCGTCAATGCGCTCTAACTATAGGTACAGAGCAATACAGGAACAAACAACTAAAAATGTGGAAAAAAAAAACAGGAACCTTAGGTACATTAAAGTCACCACCGAAGAAGAACCACAAAACGACTTGTCGTTTTCTAGTACAGCGAACCTGAAAAAATTACAATACCAGAGGCTTTAAAACGGCTATATACATCATGCATTATTTTACATACCAGTATTCCCTTTAATTTCTGTAGACCATTTACATATATATACAAACCTACTCCTGATACGAGTCCATAGTTACTTACTACTTTCCATATTTACTTGTTTGAATTCTTCCTTCTTCCTACGAGTAACAATACTACAATGGAATCTATATCTCTTATAGTTTTACCTCAAAATGTATAGAGTAAAAATGACAGTGCTTTGAAAGAGTGCTCATATTAATAATTTGGAATGTAAAGGACTTAAAAAGGCACGATTTATGTCGTCTGAATAATTTGAAAGTAAAGCTTAACCCTTTTGTAGATAACATGTCGAATAGTTGTAATTTTCCGATCAGATTCATCGAGGACATTGAAAAGTCTGTGGGAGAACTTGGTGGCGTTAATATGAATGTGTACAGATTTAGCATTCGAAGTTTCGCAAATTTCAATTTGTCGAATTAGGCGTCGGTACATCCGTGCAATATCCAACTGAGTATAGTACTTACTTAAGAGTTTTAGAGACGAATTTTGGGACAACTGATTCTAGAACTGAAAGCTAACAACAAAGTGGCACTTTTTCCGATAATGGAACACTCCAATTTTTGCTTATATGCGACAACGAGGAGATCCTTTCGGTCGTTGCAGGAGTTTATGAGTTTTGAAGACGAATTTGGCAAATTTTAAGCAGAATTTGGATCTTCAGCAATATAAAATTCAGATAGTTGCAGAGGTCGATTCATAGTCAGAAATTGACCAATTTTGTGTCGGGATTTGGGACTGTATGTGTACAAAAACTTTCAAATTTTTGGTTTCTAAACTTGAAGTGATCGGTTTGATTAATAAGATCCGACGTGAAATCCAAATCAAATTAGTCTAAAAGTCTTGAGGAAAATCCGTGGTCATAGATTTTTGTCATAAAAGCACTTTAGGGTTTAGCAGATTTCAAACTGGTGCATGATCGTTGGACCCTTAGATTTTTCACCATAAATAAAGTATGTTCAGTGCCTGAGTTTCCAAGTTTTTAAAAAACTCAACTTTTTCAGATAAATCTTCCTTAACAATAATTCTCTAAGATTGTCATAAAATCCGAGATACAAATTTCGCCAAAAATGAAACACTAGATCGGACAAGATCGCTGCTTCTGTTCCTAAAGGAATGCAAAAGAATTCGATTCAATCGGTTACTCGCTATGCAGAGTAACTTGAAGATTTCACGATATAAACTTGGGGAACTTTGTGGCGAAATTTTGACCTGCATCTCTACGAGAGTCAATTGATGAAGGAGATTGAAGTTAATGGCCTTAGGAAACCCTATTAGGAGAGTAGACTGGCCGAGCCTTTGGAAGAAAAAGAAACCACGGTTGTTGAACTTACGATTTGGAAACTCCATTTCCCAAAATTATCGGAATTTTACTTTAACATTGAAGTTCCTAGCTACTTTTAGTTATAGATCTAATATTTTATATTATAGATCTTTATCTGGAACATTCTTAATCTTGATCAGGATAGCCTGACGAGGGATTTCTTTTAATATCGGCCACTTTCGATTGATCCGTAATAACGAAAATTCAATTTGCACATGATCTTCTGAAACCGTCCTATTCTTAGTGTAAAGTTTCATCTGTTATTTAAATAATTATGTTAAGAACTTGAGCTAATCACCTCCAATTTTTATGGTAATTGTAATCCTTCTTTCTTGGAATTCGAGGGATCTTCTCTGTGGAATAGCACATGTAAGATCGTTAAATATTACCAGGAATGGGGTTCATTATTGTACTTGGAACATCCGAGAGCTAGCTTCTCAAGGAATTTCATTCAACATCGAAGATTTCAAGTCCCAGCTGAACGCTGTAATCTATTAATTGATCAGTAATAATACAACAAGATTAAAGTAGTTCGGATATGATCTTCTGGGTCTGAAACCCACCATATTAGCCAGCGATTCTGCAATAAGAACATCACAAGTCTTGGACTGTTAAGATTTTCTTTAGGTTGCGGGCTTGTTCCTTTTGCCAACATATTATTTCTTTTCGAATATCCTGCTACTTGTTAAAGAAGGTCCTTCATTCAGCATCGAAGATTTCAATTTCCAGCTGAACGCTGTAATCTATTAATTGATTAGTAATAATGCAAAAAGAGTAAAGTAGTTCGGATATGATCTTCTGGGTCTGAAACCCACCATATTAGCCAGCGATTCTGCAATAAAAACATCACAAGTCTTGGACTGTTCCACTTACCAACATATTATTTCTTTTCGAATATCCTGCTACTTGTTAAAGAATAATATAATATTTTACTCCTTTAACCCTCTGTATTTTGTTTGTAACTTTTACTTTACATTAAATACAACCAACAACAAAAAACTCTATGTTGGTGTAGCGAAGATATTTTTATTATTGTTTGGTGTTCGACAACAGCAACAAACTCAAGATGTAAGAAAAGAAAAAAAAAAAGAAGGAGAACGAACAACCAAACTCTGTAGGCTGATTGCGTAGATGGTATCCATCCGGACAAACATGAAATATGACAGTAAAGAGAGCACAAATATAAAAGGAATCCAAAAATGTAACACATTCATCCAGCTGTACATAGTACTTACGAATGAACAAACAAACATTTCTTTAAACAACAACCAAAAAAAAAAACCGGGAACAAAAGGATGATGATGATGAAACTTACTTACTTTTTGGTTACCCAAGATACGAGCATAATAATACTGTTGGTACATGGCAATTGCCATATACTCTGTTGGTTAGGCTCTACAACTGTGGTAACTAACAGGGACAATACATAAATTCACGTAAGTTCTGTTTTGAAGGTAAATATGCATAAAAACTAAAAAAAAATGTTGTTGCCGCCGCTGCAGCAATATGATTTTTATGTTGAATGACTATACAATGGCGACAATAACAATATGATTGCGCATGAGGCAAACAACAACAGATAAGCTGATGCGCAGCAGCCCTTTTTTTATAAAGTATATTTCTACTTTATTTTAGAACATCAGCATTGGAATAAAAACTACAGCAACAACAACAAACAGCCTTATAAACTAAAAATCTCCTGTTGCATTGTCAACGACATTTTGCCAGAGATATAGATGGTGTTGTCATATTTATGTAGGTATATGTGAACAATGTGTTGGCAGGGTTTGGGTTGTAGAGTAGAGTTTTGGTTTTTGTGATTGAAAGTAAAGGAAAAAGGATCGAATCGGTCTTAATAAAAATTTATCACTATTTTGCTTTTCAAAGTTTCCTTTGCATGAGATATCTGGCTAAACATTATGATGGATCAGATATTCACTGATCTTCCTCAGATTTCAACTTGATGATCGATATTTGATTGATCGTAAAATTTGTTCATGTTCCATGCAACACACTCAACCGCGATAGAGCTTGTTTTCGAAGATCATCATCTGATTTATATTCTAAGATCAATGTTCGACTTTGTTCAATTCCATAGATTCAATTTGTTCAATATTTGGTCATTTTGGACAGCATTGGACACTATGCTGACCTGCTC